ACATGAAGCTCCCAATTTCGGCCTGCGGCGCCGCCTGCTGCTGCTGCACGTGATGCTGCGGCTGCGGCTGCTGCTGCTGCGGCTGCTGCGGCTGCTGCTGCTGCTGCACGGGCGGCTGCTGCAGCATCTGCACAGGCGCCTGCACCGGCTGCTGCTGCTGCTGCTGCTGCTGCTGCACGACGGGCGCCGGCTGCTGCATGAGGCCGCCCGCCCCAGGGTACATGCCCTGCATCGGCATGTATGCCTGCTGCTGCGGCAGCGCCGCTTGATTGACTGCGGCGCCTGGCACTCCTGCGGCATGCGGAAAAGGCAGGGGGGAAAGCAGGCCGGGAGGCAGCAACGTCACTTCGATGGGGGCCCAGGCTGATTGTGTGGCATCCTGAACGGCAGTCAAGGATGTGCGCTTTGGTGGAGTACCCAGTTCCGACCCCAGCCCCAGCGCCAAGCAAAGGTGCCCCTCACCTGTCGCTGCCATTCCATACTGCTGCTGAGCTGGCATGTACTGCTGCTGCTGCTGCAGCTGCTGCTGCGGTGGCTGCGGTTGCTGCTGCTGAGGTTGCTGTTGGGGTTGCTGCTGCTGGGGTTGCTGCATCTGCTGTTGGTATGGGAGCAGTTGCTGCTGCTGCTGCTGCTGTTGGAGCTGTTGTTGCTGTTGCTGCTGCTGTTGAAGCTGTTGTTGCTGCTGCTGTTGCAGCTGCTGCTGCTGCTGCTGTTGCATCAGCTGCTGCTGCTGCTGTTGCTGCTGAGCCTGCTGCTGTTGCAACATCTGCTGCTGCTGTTGCTGCTGCTGCTGGATCATGTGCTGCTGCTGTTGTTGCTGTTGCATTTGCCACGGCATGGCGTTTGGCGGAGCCTGTACAAACCCGCCCATACCCGGTACAGCTGCCATTGCCGCAGGAGGTGCCATCATTCCCTGATATGGCATCATCATTGGCGCCGGCTGCTGCTGCTGCACGTGCATGCCCGAGTTGGGGATGGGCATGGACGACCCCATCATTTGCTGCTGCTGCGGTTGCGGCGGCTGCAATGGCTGCGGCTGTTGCTGCTGCACCTGCTGCTGCATGGGTGCTGGATAGAGCGCGGCGCCACCGCCCACCTGCTGTTGACCGGGATAGTACCCCATGCCCGCAGGAGTCACCTGTGCCTGCGGCTGCGCCATCGGCTGCTGCCACTGCTGCGGCTGCTGCTGCTGCTGCGGCGGCTGCATCATCTGCATGAGGCCCGAAGGGTCGCCGCCAGGCGGCGTGCCATCGTTGAAAGCTCCAAAGGCTCCAAGGAAGTCCATGAAACCCTCATTCATGCTGGGCTGCGGCACCATACCCTGTCGCTGCTGCTGCGGTTGCTGCTGTTGCGGCTGCTGCGGCTGCTGTTGCTGCGGCTGCTGCAGCATCTGCTGCTGCATGTTGTACCCCTGTTGCTGCTGGGGCACAGCCAACTGCTGCATTTGGGGCTGGCCATAGCCCATGGGCATTTGCCCGACCATCATGTGCGGCTGCTGCTGCTGCTGCTGCGGTTGCTGCTGCTGCTGCTGCTGCTGCGCGCCCACTGTGCCATCAAGCATCACAACCCCGCCATGCTGCGGCTGCGCCTGCTGGTGGTGGCTGGCGCCGGGCGGCGCGAGGCCGACCTTGGCGAAGCACTGCTGGACGAATTGGTTCGTAAGGTTGCGCACGTTGGCGCTGTACAGGTCCTGCGTGGGCAAAGGGCGGGGTGCGAGGGCCGACCCAAGGTGTTGGCAAGTGCTGTGTGCATACGTGGCGAAGCGGGAGAGGTGCGGGCAGCGGCTGCGTGCAGCAGCGTGTCGCGATGCAGTGAATACGGGGTGCTAGGATGGGTGTTTGTGGGCGCCGGCATGCGTGTCAGGCGGTTCAAGGAGCGCTGCAAGGCCGTAAGAGGGGTGAGCGATCCACACGGGGCCGCAGCGGGGCCAGGGTGCTGCCCGCCCACCTCGCGCCCTTGGCAGGCCTCATGCGCCCGCTTCTCGATGTTCTGCGCATACTTGATCGCCTCGCCCTCCTTGCTGGGCTCGCAGCGGTGCAGCGCGATCTGGACGGTCTTGGCGCTGCGCAATGGCGGGCAGGCGCATGGATCGGCGGACCGGTCGCGCTGACGCTACGGGGCAGGCGCAGGGTGCTGTCACCCCGATGGCGCTCGATCACATGTCGGGCCCGTCGCACGCCGGCCGTGCCACAGACGTGGCTGGACTCACATGCGTTGCAGCGCCCGCTTGCGAATCTCTTTGTCCAGGTTCATGGCTCTGCAGCTCGCGGTCTCGCCGTGTGGGCAGACAGCGTCTGTGGGCGAGGCGCCACGCTCGGCTCGCGGCGTGCGCCCCGGGGCTTTGGGGGACCAAAGATCTTTCAAAAACTTTACAGCTGTTCCAGCTGCGGCTCTTGCACGCCGTCGACAATGATGAGAGAGCTCCGGGCCGGTTGTGCAGTGATGCAGCGCGGTGGCAGCGGGCTACTACTTATAGTTTGCCGTACGGATCACACGACAATACAATCAAACACATATTGTAATCCATTCATTCAATTTCCCAGATCAACCTGATAATTTGCTGTCCCGCTCTACAAGCTGGATGCTTACGGCTCGAGGTCTTTGTGTAACAAGGCTCCATCGCGCCCTTATCAGACAAGGCTTTGCCTATAACGGGCGGCGCCGGTGGGCGGCACAAGCCGCAGCCCAGTCGGCACACGGCGTCACCGGGCGGCCGGCGCGGCGGCGCATGGCAAATTCAAAGTACGAGTACGTGAAGCAGTACGAACAGGACCTCTCCCTGCTGCCGGGTATGCTTCTGCCGCGCTGAACCCCATGCATCTGTGAAGCCGCACAAGAGAGTTGCCACCATGGGCATGCTTGTTTGCGCGAGGTCGCTGCAGGGGTTGTTCATCTCTTTTCTGAAGTAGCTCACGACGATCTTGCAGGCTGCTACATCGTGGTCCGTGTCGATGGCAAGGGCTTCACCAAGTAAGCTACCCCACCAGCCAGGCAGCGAGCCCTTTCCCTTGGACGGCCCTTCACCTGGACCGCTGTCCCCTCAGCCCCTGCCATCCCCCCCCCCCTGCTCGTCATATGACCTGAAGCCTCCACCCACGCCCCGGCGCGTGCGCCTTCGCGGACTGAGCTGATGCAGGTTTTCGGAGCTGCATGGGTTTGAGAAGCCGAATGACAAGCGGGCGCTGGATCTGATGGACCTCTGCGCAACTGAGGTGCGAGCGGGCGGCGCGACGCCCGCTGCTTGCCAGGAGCCATTCAGCAGCGGAGGATCAACATGCCGGCACGCTTTGCGCCGCCAGCACACTACAAACGGCGTGATCAATGGCGCCAGATCGCCGACTGCCCGCCTCGCACACGGCCATCACCACAGCGTTGCTCCACTCGCCCACAACATCGGCGCCTCTACACACACTCACACACA